CTCCCTCTTTCCCTTGCTCCTTCTTTCCCTTGCTCCCTCCCTCCCTTGCTCCCTCTTTCCCTTGCTCCCTCTCTCCCTTGCTCCCTCTTTCCCTTGCTCCCTCTCTCCCTTGCTCCCTCTCTCACGAATCTCTCCCTTCCTCTCTCTAGAATCCCTCCCTTCCTTGGTGATGAGATTTATAAGATTCATTCAGCTAATTGGTATCAAGCAATGGAATACCCTCTAATTGATAACACATGACAGGCATTTTTTGCCTTTTTCTGCAGGGTAGAAATAGTATTCGTAAGATCCATTCAGCTGATCAATACCAAGTAATCATTTCAAAATCAAAAACAATTTTTTCCATTTTTTTAGAAACTCATCTTCTGCGGTGCACTGTCAAAGGAGCCTGGGACAAGAGGTCTACTTCCATAAAAAGGGTTCTTTTAAGTCATTTTTAAGCAGCTTATCTCCTCGCGACCCCGCATTTACCCTGGAGAAACGCGCCTGTAAACTGCTACACAAAGATCATGGCATCAACGTGTACTAGTCTAGTCATTCAGTCTATTATGATAATATTTGAGGACATAGTCCCATTTAGTAGCTCCAGGGCTAAAATTTACGTGAAATTTCGCAACGTGTTAATTTCGCGATTCGGGAGGTCGCATATTTTGCCACCTAGTCTATAGTCAATTCCGCGATTTCTTTAAATAAATCCTTCATAATTCGTTACCAAATRCGCACAAATACCACGTCATTACGCAACATTAATAACAAAAAATATATCTTTCGCGTTAGTTTCTTGGTTCTGACGTTTTGCCATTTTCTCATGTTGAACCACTTCAGTTTTGCGCGGACAAATTTTCGCGAAAATAAACTTTAATGCAATGAATGAGTAAAATTTTTTAACTGCACTTTATATCGCAGCTACTTAAATTGATATGAACGGATGCAGTGGACTGAAGCGCAAGACACATTATAGTACGTATTCTTGAGATTTAGAATAAGACCTGGATTAAGACGAATAGGGTAGCGGAAAGAGTCTAGACTGGTAAAAATTGTAACGAAAAATAACTTTCCCTTTTATTTTTGTATTTCGTGCGTGTAGCCTTTGCAGGCCTCAGTGGATTTTTTTAGGACGGCCCCTAAGGAAGCCTGCAAAGCTGCTAGCGCGCGGTATTTTCTTTTATTTTTGAAATATTAGTCAATCAGTTAGTGAGAAAAGTGGGTTCAGTTCTGGACTAAATTCAACACTTCTTGAAGACGTTACTCCCTACCACATCGACAATTTGGTCATGGGGTCAATGAGCTTCAGTAATTCTAATCATTTATCATGTATAACATGTATAACGTCCGTTGTAAACGTGACCTACTTGAAAAACGTGCTAACAAAATGTTACACAACACTTATGAATAGAAATATCTGCAATAAGAGAATGGAATACCTGGTTGAATGACTGTGTGCACCATTAACTTTTTCTTTACAAAGGGGGAATTTTGGGATAAGACTAGATATGTCTGTAAAAGTACCGTTGGAGTCCTTCAGGGGACTCTAAGATTTCAGGCTGCACAGCTTGGGTGAAATCGGGGAAACCCTGGAAAAAAATGTTCGCCAGATGTAAAAAAAAAAATCCCTTTCGATGGCAAGATAGTTTTTCCTTTAATCATTAATAAAAGTAATAAATTTGCTTAAAACAAGCAATGACATAAAACGGAAAACAAAACAAAGTCTAGTTTTCTATTCATTGAATTAGAAATATTCTCAAGTTTTCGAAGTCAGTTGTAACAGTCTTATCTATTCCCTTTGTTTGCACGTTGCGTCATCGCGGTCATGTTGACTTCGTTTCAATAATGAATTTTTTGATCGAATAATGAAATCAAGAATCCAAAAATAAATTCATTAATGAGGTCTACGTGTTCACGCTCGAGGTGGTTTGACTGTAACAAATATTAACCGCACCAACATGACTCTCATCTCACTTAGGAATGCTTGCAACCCATCAATAGAGGCTTAGCTTTGCACCATCATGTGCTCACGCCCATTATAACTACAGAACTGCCTGTGATTGGATGGCAGAACAATAAAATCCCTTTGCTCTCGAGAATTGAATTATTTCTCATGTAAGACGATTGCATTGTTCCTGCCATATAACGTTGGAGACTATGCTATAGGTGGAATGTCACCTGTCTAGTTCTCCGCAACAGTTTAACTGTTGGAAGTTTAATAAATAAAAAATAAAACATAGCTGCGGTCACGTGATGGTGCAAAGCCTCCATAGCAGCTTGATACATCCAAATTCAAATGTATGCCTCTAAATGTTAAACAAATGTTTGCAGACAATAGAGTGTACATATCTGCTATATATTAGTCAATAAGAGTGAATCAACTTTTTTAATGGTTTTTCACTTTATGCCCATGACTTCTTTGGGGGGCAGATCCAAAAGAGACACTTTTTAACAAGTGCTTGTAAGGTTCAGTTTGCTTAAAAATTAAGGATTTTAGTTCAAATTGTTTTCATGCCGTTCGAGCAATCAAGCGTTTAGTATTCTGTATTATTTAGTTCGCAATTGACTGATCACATACTCGAGAAACAAAAAGACAATAGACAAGGGGCGTTTGACAGATTTTCACTTGGGGGTTAAAAGTATTATCGCTTATAGCGCCACTTTTGTGTTCCTATATATTAACCATTCCGAGGTTGAGAAACAACTCGGTCAATCGCGAGTTGTAATGTTGGACTGCTTTAGGGGACGAAATAAACGCCATCTTGGACGACCTAAAACAGTACAGTATTTYTAGTATCACTGAATATTGTACGACACTTACTGAGTCACGTACGTTACCATATCACCTCCCTTTACGTGACTCTGGATTATTCACTGTAAAAAAGTTACTAATAATAATCAGGAGTAGTATCATGGGATTTATTCCGTAATGTGTAGTTGATCAGTTGTAGATTATATAGAGAAGCTTTAACTTATTAGTCTCATTCACAGAATGAAGGAATTTCAGTTTTCGTGTTCTTTGTTGTTGGCAACTAGAATGGCTCTCACGTGGTGCCGAAAGTAAAGACACGTTTTAGGAGTCAACGAGTACGCTTCTCATGCATGCATCATAAATATTCATTTTTCTGTCCATCGGATTAGGCCCTAGATCAACCTCCCTCCCTCCCGCCCTCCCTTTGTGTTTATTTTGACCAAACATCAAAACAAATGACATATTTTTGATTTTAAAAATTCGTTTAGTAAAGTACCTTTTAGTRCTTTGTTGAATTCTCTAAATCAAAATTTTTTTTACCATGGATATTGCAACATTCATTATGACGCCACAGTACCTACTTTTTGTCCCTCTAAAAATAAAATAAACATATTTTTCAGAATCGTGCAGCGCCGCTGGCAAAGTTTGATAAATATATACTACGGCATATATATATATATATATATATAAAGTAATTGGAAATTTATGCCTTGCCTACGCAGCCCTTCAGCCATTTGACGCAGAACCGTTCATTAGCAAATCCGGTCCAGGTCAGTCTGTGTCTTTTAGTGACCGCCTTTCTAGAACAAAAAACTTATATAGCACATTCTTAGAATCCGCAGAGATAGAATTTAGTTTTTGCAAGAGATTTGAAGTAAATTTTGTATTTATGATACAAATGAGTGGTCGTGTTGTTTTTCTTAGCAGTTTTGTTGAGCTTTTGGAGCTCTCTCCTTCTTCCCGTCTCAGAGACTCCCATCAACTCTGACTATAAACCTTTTCACGTGGATCACTCACGTGTGCGTGCCGTAATCAGATCCAAAGTCACGAGCCTAATTATGTAACCGCTGTCTGGTATGACTGCGGCTCAACCCTTCAATCCACGTTAGTAGTAGTTCAATGTCGACATAAGTCTAAACACTCGACCAAAAAATGTCTCGATAAATATTTCTTCCAGCTCCTTCCCAACCTACAACTAACTTGGTTGGTTCATGTTAGGGTTTGGGAAGAGTTTTTCGACATTTGAATGAGATGACAGCTTTGGATTTTGAAGATGGATTAATTGGAAGTGAAGCAACCGGCGGCTTCATCGAGAAATATGAAGCTAAAGAAGTCCTGGGATCGTAAGTGCAGCTGTTGATATAAGCATTTTTAAACATTATTTAAGACTATTTTATAATTGGGGTTCATTTGGGGTTCATTCTAATGGTATCTGTTTGTAAGGAGTTGGCTTTTCGTATTAAAACAAGGTTACTTCTACTATACGCCATAGTGTTCTGCTCGTTTTAATAGCTGTATACCTTCTGTACGAAGTTCAAGGTGAAGTGTTTTTACTCTAACGCCAGTAAAAATACTCGAGTATATCGAAATAATTCATCCTAAGGGAAAATTTTAAAGTACCGAGCACAACAGGTAACATTCTAGTTCAAGGAAGTTGCAGCTATCCATTTTTTTACTGCGACAAGTAACATTTCATAAACAACTTTGGGCTTGAATTTTCAAAAACCTAATTTAATAAATTAAGCTTAATGTTTTAGTAACCTAGCTAGAAAACATCGAGTGAAGAATGAAAAACCAGAATTCGGCTATTGAATGTCTTGGACTTTGAATATTTTGGCAGGAAGTTAAGAAAAAGCGAAACTTTAGAAGCGCTATTAGCTGCCAAGAACCGTTTCATCTGAGTAATTTTTTTACTTCTGAATTGTTTTAGAAAATAAAAATCTCCTARATCAAGGTTTATTAACTAAAATTGTCTTATTTTTCGTTGAGAGTAACTATTATTATCATAAAATCGCATTTCCTTGGTCACATGAAACCGTATTTTCCTGGAACACCTAAGTTTTCTAAATTTAGGTTATTGTTTACATCCTCAATCTGCGTGAAAGGCTAGTAAGCCCTTCTATATACCAATACGTGTAAACTGTTTGTCTCTCGTTTATAATTAACACACAAAAAACCTCAAAATCGACCTCAGAATCTTCAGCTTATAACGTCTGTGTTTCAAAATTTAATTTATTCTAGCTGGTGTTCTCAGATGTGAAATATTTTTTAACAGCTGTTAAAGGTGTTGCTCATGATCTTATTTGACACCATATGATGTTTGTAGATATGTTATGAGTTCCTCTTCCTTATAGACTAATCCTTATATATTTATTTTAGGCTTAACATGTGCTGTTCCAACTTTAAATGAAATGATTACGAAATTATAGTTTTTACGTTTTAAAATAATCTCTGTTGCATTTTAACCTTAAATCTACTTATGTTGAAGACTCAGTTTTGCATTATCAACAGCTAGCAGTTGTCTTTCATCAGACATGTTAGAGAAGAGCTGCACTGAGTTTGTGTGTGTTGACTCTGCTTATACTTGTTTTGTAGACTCAGTTGTACATTGCTCATTAATAGCACTTGTCTTTCCTCACACCTGTTAGAGAATAGATGCATTGAGTCTATTGCTGATGGGTATTCTTGTGTTGTAAACTCGGTCATGCATTGCTCATTAACAGCAGTTGTCTTTCCTCACACCTGTTAGAGAATAGCTGCATTGAGTCTATTGCTGATGGTTATTCTTGTGTTGTAAACTCAGTCGTGCATTGCTCATTAACAGCAGTTGTCTTTTCTATTTCAAGAAGGCATTGTTTTGCCTAAGTGTCATAATAATAATACATAATAGAATCCTTTAAACAAACATTCCTGCATAACCCAACACAGTTAATTCCAATGTGATCATGATGTAGAACTGTGTTGAATCAGATTAGTCCAGAGGTTGCTTCAGGGTTTAATAAATGTAAAGTTTGGCTTCTTTGTTTTGGTTTGCTTAATCTTGTAATACCTGCAGCACAATTTTATGCATATAGTCGTATTTAGATGTAAATTAAGTACTTTGTATTTAACAATATTTAAACAGATCAATATTTAAAGAATCAATTGAAACCACCTATTAATAACTTCTTATTTAAACATTATTTTTATATTGAAATTGAACGATAAAAACATGTTAAAAATGTGACGACATTTCGATGTTGCACAACGTCATTAGCGTGTCAAAAATGAACTAGAATAGTAGAATATGTATAGAAATAATAACAATAGATATATAATAACATAATCAGTTTGGCATGTATGGAATCTGATTCATTCAAACTAGGTTTGAGTTGTTTGATCAGCAACATCTCATTAGAGTGCAAATAATATACTTGTGAAATAGTTAGGATGAAATAGGAGATAGTTAGCGCTTAATTAGACAAAACATAGGAATTCAGTGAGGCATGATAAGGGCATGGGCGTTTACTAGAGTAACAACTCAATACGCAAATGAATAGATACAAAAATGTGAACATGTCAAACTATATGAAGGAAAAGCATGTACAACAAAATATTGTTTCAGTTTTTGCAAGTGTGTTTAAAAATATTTTAAAATGCGTGCCCTTGAGTAGCACGCATGYACTAGTTTACCCGTCACGGCACACCTATTTTAACTAATTAGACTTAGGCAACCAAAGGTTAGTAATTAGTTAGCTAGCTATCTATTTCACAGGTATATTATTTGCACTCTAATGAGACAGTCAAATCTGTCTTTGCACTTTTTCAAATCAGCGCACAAGATTTAGAACTGTTATTTCATGAGGTATAACCAATGACTACTTAAGAAATCTTTTATGCTATTTGTTTGAAAAACATTGTTACTGTATCTTTCTCTTTTGCAGTGGAGCTTCAAGTGTTGTTCGGAAGTGTACAGATAAAGTTACAGGGAAGGAATATGCAGTGAAAATTATTGACAAGCTCAGCGATCTAGGAGGTGTCGACATTATTGGCACTACAAAAGATGAAATTGACATCTTACTCAAATTACATGGACATGAAAATATTAGTGAGTACTTTTACATATTTAATATATAACCATCAATGAAATATCTATTTGCAGGGCCGTAACCAGAACTTTTACAGGGAGGGTGCACATCAAATAAAATCGGACCATTGATCGTTTTTTTTATTACCAACTCAGTGGCGTAACTAGGGATCTTGCAGGGAGGTGCACAGGCAATAATTTGCAGAACCAAAAAGAAAAAAAAGGTAACCAAAAGAAAGCAGAACCAAAAAAAAGGAGATGGATGAGTGGACCTTAAGCTTTTATAGGGGGGTGCACACCCACCCTGTGCTCCCCCCTGGTTATGGCCCTGATTTGCAGTAATTATTATTTATCTTAATAAATATTTGTATCTTGGTTTCTTTCAGTTGGACTTGTGGATGTTTATGAGTCATCAGCATACTTTTTCTTAGTATTTGAGTTGTGAGTATTTTGTAAATGTACAGTACATGTTCAATTATAGACCCCTTGCAGCAAGTCAGAATGCAGCTCAATCTAGTGGACAAAACAATAGGTTCCAATTCTCAGGAGATTGGAATCATTTTGTTTCGTCCCTCAGATCAAGCTGCTTTGATGTCACATGCAATGGGTCTATGAATCAGTTTTGTAAATTTTAAGGGCTTAGTATTGCAACTAAAGTAAAACTCTGGTGGTACAGTGACTAGAAATCTTGAATGACAGACAGAATACAGGCAGCATGGCTGTAAGGATGGGGAACAACAGAAATAAATGGTAAAAATGGATCTTCCCTGAGATGTAAAAAGTTAACTGAAAATCTGTGGGATAAGAAGGGAGATGAGGTTGTTGGGGGAGGGGAGGAGTACAGAAAGTTAAAGTGGCCAGTGACCTAGCTTATACTGTACTTTGTGCAATATTCTTATTTGAGTTCATTTTATATTCTGCTTTCAGTGCTAAATCAGGAGAACTCTTTGACTTTCTAACAAATGAGGTCACATTATCAGAGAAAAAAGCCAGGTACTGTACTATACATGTATAATAACATGTAAAGATACTAAAAAAAACACACAAATCTGTATGGCTAGGGTGAGGGATCTTGATATTCATATCTTTTGGAATTGAAAATTGAGCTAACTTTGCCGTAACTGTAAAAAAAACTTTACTCACATTTTCGATGTCCTGTGATGTTACCATCACAGTATCATGCCCTGTTATGTTGATTGGACGGATGTTGTCAATTACCCTGTTTTACTAAGACATCGCCACACCTTACCTAACCTCTTTGTACTCAGTTGCACATAAGCCCTTTTACTATGACGTCACAGCCTGTTTAAAAGAAGGACAAGATGGCAAAGAAATTTTTTGCCGTTTTCTTTGTGTTGTTGCTAAGTGTTTTGTGCCCCTACCTTGACCATGATTCTCCTTGACCATAAACAAATGATTGTTTTCATGTGCTGTCATAGTGAAATAGGGCAATTAATTCCATACCATGTCATCTCTGTTTGCCAAGTTGGGGTTAAAAATCAATTCTAAAGCCTTAACACACATATTCCATTCTTATTTGACTGTAGGAAGATCATGAGAGAAATATTAGAGGCTGTTGTATATATGCATGATCTGGAGATTGTCCACAGAGATCTTAAGGTTAGCATTGGAACAAGTTTAAAACTGCCAATTTGGAAAACAACCTGTTAGTTTATAAAATTTTATTACAGCTATTTTTAAAAAGGTTGAATACTGCATACTGAATAGTGCATTTCAAGACCAAAATTCATTGTGGGTCATAGTGACATTGTCTAGAGTAGGATTAATAATTATTATTTATTCTATTCTTAGTGTATTCCATCTGAAACAATATACTAACTACGTTAATTGCTGTATATTTACTTTTTATTTCAAATTAACAAGACCCACAATGCCGTATGCAGTATTCAGTATTCAACCTTTTTTGAAATAGCTGTATACAGTAAGCTAGAAAGGAAGTATATAATTTATCACTAGCTGTTTGATCCCATTTATGCAGCTAGTGATAACTGATAAATTATCCTCCTACAGTAGTTGTTAGACAGAACTGTTATCCACATGTATGTTATTATTGAAATATTTTGATTCCCAAAGCATTGATTTATTACCATAATTCAGGTATTAAAATCATGGCCCATCAGGCCCCAATCATGATGACCTGCCATATTAGTCTTAGCTCAGTCATACCTCATTTCTGGCTTAAACATTACTGGTCAAAATGACTGGCAAGGCAAAGATTTGACAGACAAATTCCAATTCTGACTGGACTATGTCAATGACCAGCCATTATCTAATCACAACATTATCGGATTACCAAACATACAGTACAATGACAAAAGAGCTGGTTATCTAAAAATTGCAATTTTTCCCTTATTATCAGCCAGAGAATATCTTACTTGACAATGATTTAAGAATAAAGATATCAGACTTTGGATTTGCTGTCATGCTTAAGGAAAATGAAATGTTAAAAGGTATGTAAACATAGAGTGTACAGTCAACTCTCGTTACAGCAGATACCTTCGGGACCATCACTTCATGTCCATAATAGCGAGCGTTCGCAATAGCAAAAATTATTTATGGTCATTTCTTTGTCAGTATTTTTGTCTGGCATTTTTCTCCTGTCTGTAATAGCAAGGTGTCCATAATATTGGGGTGTTCCCAAGGTGAGAGTTGACTGTATTTAATGATATTACTTCTGCTTGGCAAACTTTAGCAAACTTCATAACCAATGCTGATGACCAATGATTATTGTCTCATGATCGCTGGTTGCTTGACCAATCGCAGCACTCTTCATGTATACATGTATACTCTATATTCAAGTCTAAAATTATACTATACTCTCCAACAAGGTTTGCTCAACACACCACAGATATGTTCAATATTCTATGTGGAAAGGGATCAGAGAGGAACAACACTTCAAATGAACCCATCTCACATAACAGGTTTAGTCAGGCATTGAACTAGTGACTCCGGGCTTGAACTGCTGTGAAAAAAGGCAGTGCTGTAATAATGGGGCTTATTCACCCAGCAGGCATGTTGGTTTGAACAATAGATTCAACAGTACTACACATAGCCTCGCATTCAAGTCCTAGAAAACAAGTTATGGAGGTTAAACAATTTTTTTTACTCTCATGGAAATAAACTATTTTGCTGCAGTGTTTTGATGGACTGTACATGCCTTCCATTTCTTGGATTATCTTTAATCATCCTCTGTTTGATCATTTTATTCTAGAGTTATGTGGTACTCCTGGCTATTTAGCACCTGAGGTACTCCAGTGTTCCATGTTTCCAGATGCTCCAGGATATGGCAAGGAAGTCGATGTGTAAGTACTTTGAAAATAAAAAAATTCATTCAGTGATGCACAGATCTTTTCTGGAATAGCAAACATGGTGAATTGTGGTCTAGCCTGGGAATAAACATATTTCATGATCATCATGCCTTATATAGTGCAGCTTGTACTAAAGCTAGAGCATAATGCACACTGTTTATTGAGTTCTGAAAAGGTCTATACAACAGAAATAGAGGATATTACATGGGTGCTTGGAGATACGAAATTTATCTTTGAGTGTTGAAAAGATCTCTCACGAGTGAGCGTAGCAAACGAGTGAGAGATTTTCAACACGAGAAGATAAATTTCGTATCTCCAAGTGCCCATGTAATATTCTGTTTATTATATRATTATCAATGAAGTATGTTTTGGCTTTTTCGGGCAATTCTTTCCGTGTATTTTTGAATAGCCATCRCAATGGTGTTATTTTCACACAAGAAAATAACATGTTATTTTCACGTGTGAAGATATCAATTTTTCAAAATAGAGAAAAATAGATATTTCATTGGTAATTATATAATAAATAAGAATATTCTACCCCCCAAAGTAATGGTGAAATTTGCATCTACAAGTACTCACCCACTCATTACAAAATACATGTGTACAGTACTCCAGTTATTTGCCAGTTTTTCAAATTTAATTACTATACCCAAACAGGTATTCATGTATATTTGTAATTTCCTTTCTTTCTCTTGTTTGTAGGTGGGCTTGTGGAGTTATTCTGTATACTTTGTAAGTAGTGTGACTACCGTAGACGGAAACAGTTAGACAAGAGAATCATATAAGATGTAGAATAAAAACAATGCATTCAAACTTTGGGTAGTAGAGGCAATCACTGCATGGGAATTGTAATTTGACCTTGATGTTACATGTAAACAACTAGATAGCCATTGTAGATCCCATCCCTATAATATTAAGGTCCTGTTACACACTGCAACTCTTGGCTAAAACTTGTATGTATATGAGAATGTACATAGACTATATAGTTATATGCAACAATGTGGTAAGAAAGGTTTCTTGGGGATGTCGTACACAAAACAATTTCTTGAAACCACCATCATCCACCATGTTAATGTTGGCAGCTCGCTGGGAATGTTGGACTCTGATGGGATTGTTTACTGATGGGATTGTTTATTCAAAGAAAGTTTCAAGATGGGTGTTATTTAGCTCAACTCGTCCTGAAACTTGTCTAAGTGACATGTCTAAGTAAAATTCAATTCATTCGGAAACTTAGATTCAGACAAGAGTTTCAACGTGCAACAGGGTCTTTAACACAAGTCAAACGAGAAATCTTATCCTCAAGGGAATGATTAACAGTAGTGTATAGAAAGACAGTGATTTGGTCCATTCTGTTGATGTTATCAATCAGATAGTGTGTTACCCTTTAGTATCCACTAAATAGTTTCTTATATTTTTGAGACGACAATATTTCGTGGTATTGTCGTTTCAAAATTTCTGATTGGCTAACGTGCGACGAAAAGGAAAGCTTCGCGACTCCGCCCAATATCGAATATATTTTCTCCCAACTAGCCGTCAATATTTCTCAAAATCGTAATTAGTTTTTTAGTATTTGTGATGTGGTATTGATTGTATTTGTGATTATGTTCATCTAGGCTGTGTGGTTTTCCACCATTCTGGCATCGTCGTCAAGTAGTGATGCTTCGAAACATAATGGAGGGCAAATATCAGTTCAGTAGCCCTGAATGGGATGATATATCCTCTAATGCAAAAGACTTAGTAAGTATATTCATGTTGCTATGGTGATTTAGGATCTTTCTTACAAACATCAGTGTCGGATCCAGGGGTAGTTCCTTGGGTTCAATGAAACCCCCCCTTTGTTAGATCTTGTGAAGCTAATAATGTTCTTTACAATCAGCAGAATGACAGCTTGTAATTCTGACTTACTAATATTGAGATGCTTTCGATGACAATTTCTTTTTCTTTTTTTTTTTTTTTTTTTTTGTGCTAATTGGTTTGAAACTCAAAACTCGCCCCAAACGCTTGCTCGTTTTCGAAATGGCAATATATAGCAAATAGCTCGGATATTTATAAAGGGTCTTTCTCTTTTAGATATCCAAGATGTTGGTAGTTCATCCTAAAAAGAGAATAATTTGCAAAAAAGCCCTAGAACACGCCTGGTTCCAAGAAGCGAAGGTAACAATATTTAAATATAATATAAATAAACATTATAAAGATAATCGATAAAAATAACATTTATCCATTGGTGACCAAAATATTCAACAATTCTTTATAAGGTATAACATTATTTATACTAGAATGGTTTTAGGATTAATGTGAAAAGCCGTATATGCCTTGCCGCGACCTTGATGTTTTCTAGATTTTTGATTGGCTGATTTTTTTCCTCGTGCGATGTGATTGGTCTGACATTGCCGTGACCGTGTCTGTGCCGTGTTCATGCCGTTTTTCGGGTATTTGATTGGATGCAGAGTAAATGCTCATGCAATGTGATTGGGCTGGCAGTGCCGTGACCGTCTCCACCGCCGTTTTCGTGTCGTGTTTCGGGTTTTTTAATGAAGAGTAAATTCTCGTGCAGTTTTGCCATGCTCTCTTGGCCAAACCAATCAAATTGCACGAAAATTTACCCTTCATGGTCTCTTGGTTTGGCGTAAGCCTTTCCGTGTCACAACCACGTTCATGCGCGAGCTTTTCACAGTCGCAAGGAAGCTTCTCTAATGAAATGTCTTTATCTTCAGGCACAGAGAAATGAAAGGTTCTGTGCAAGATGGAAATTCAAAGTAAGTATATTGCGCAATCAGATTGCAACTTTGGGTTTTATTTTTTATAGCAATATTCATATAGGATGAGTTTTCATTTCATTTTCAAGGGGAACTATTTGCCGTTGTCAGGTTTTTCATGTGATTTTGATCATTAACTTTATCGTTATATGTTCTCGTCCAACGAAACACAAATTTTGGTAATAATTTTCAGCTAATGTTTTTTAAATGTATATAGAACATGGTACTAAAGTCCCGTTTTAATAGTCTATTTCCGAGATGCCGTGACCAAGTGCATGATAGCGAGGCTACGCGCGAAGATACGCTTGGCGGCGCGAATCTGTGTATAAGAGCGTTCTCGAGAAGTTTTGTTTTTGAAGTTTCGTTTATAAAAATTAATTGCTATATTATTGTTCAGTCGCCTGTTAAAGAGAAAACTTTTCTTGAACGCTTTTATAGTGCGCGCCGCCGAGTGTTTCTTCGCACGTAGCCGTATCTTGCACTTGATCATGGCATCTCTGAAATGGCTAGTGAACACAACGAATCGAAATAGCATGATCAAGTTTGAATAACTATTGTTCTGTGCTGACTAGCGACTGAATAGCCTCGTGTTCACGTGGAAACATAAAAGCGTTTTCACACGTWWGAGAGGCTAGTCAGTCGCTAGTCAGTGCAGAACAATAGTTATTCAAATTGGTCGCCATATTTCGATTCGATTTCGATTCCTGTTTATTTTCATGGTTTTTAGGGTGCAGTGATAGCAATTTGTGCAGCTCGTGAGTTTCACCACCTAATGATATCCAAATTATTACCGGTGTCATTCGACGTGGTCTGCAACGAGCCTTACGGCAGCAAACCTATTCGCAAAATCATCGATGGATGCGCATTTCAAGTATATGGACATTGGGTCAAGAGAAATAAGGACGCCCATCAAAACCGTGCCGCCTTATTTGAAAATAAACCGCATAAAGAAAAATATAACTCAGATGGGAAGCCTAGGAATGGAAAGAAAATCCTACCATTTGATGCATCTTTTAGAGTACTTTCCTTCAGATCCAGGAAAGCTATCCCAACTAAATCTAATTAGTCTTGTGTGGAACGCCGTGCCTGAGAGGAACAAGAGCTGTTTGCCCATTGACTTGGGACGTACAGGTAGAGAATATAATAATAAGCTAACTTATTTTGCGTTTGTTTAAAGTATAATGTCATAAGTTGTCATAATCCGATTTTTTGTTGTTCCACAACGGGGAAAATGCAAGAGATGCCTCTAAAATCAATAAGAGATTAATACAAGATTTTTATTATTTGAAAAACGTTTTAAAAGAATTAAGTAAAAAACGAGTGCGCAGTTATGGATAAATATCGCCAAACTACCCAATAGCCTTTCCTAGTACTATATAGTACTTGCTCGTGCTACTGCAGTGTTCAATCTCCGTCTAACAACCCAAAAAACAACAGCTACAACGAAATACAACAACAATCTAATAAGTAATAATAATAATAATAATAATGATAATAACGGGCAGGGGAGGGGACGGGAGATGTGTGATGTTTTCAAATCAAATGCTCTTTTCGGGAGGGGTAGGTTAGTGTAGTTTGGTGTTAAACGTTTTTTCATGCAGGTTTACATTGCCCGTTTACATTGCCCGTTTCCCACATTCACTGGAAGTCTGGTAACGAACTGGCGAAGCGTGGGATTGTGGGACTTTTTGGCTCAACTACAATGTAACCTTAAGATTCTAATTTCAATCCCACAATTCCATTCGGGTTGATTCGTTTCCAGTCTTCCTCTTAGCAGAAAAGAGCAGTTGAAATGGTTTGAAATTTATKACACATAAATGACATATATTTTGTTGAGTTAATTTTATCTTTTATACGAATACAGTAGTGTCTATAATATGATCCCAAAGATACATCAAGTGTTATTTATAAGATTCCAATTATTATTCCATGGTTTTTATTTTAATATAATATTGTTTTGTATATCACGGTCGTATATATGTATATATACTTATATTCTTGAGTTATATATAATTATTGCTTCTAATATTTTGTACCCCAAAGTGACATGTTTTTAAGTAACTTATATTTTATACATATGTATATATACTTATATATATATGGATATAGGGGATATAGGAACAGACAGAAGTAATGTATAATGAAATGCAGTCAGAGGTCACGTGATCATTTTCTTTGGATTTCATCCTGCATTGAATTGTGGGGCAGTAATAAGAGTAGCGGGGAAAATGCAATTCCCTTCGAGAGAGATTACGGCTTGGCATCCTAAATGAATACCTCGCATGAATCTCATCAAGGCTACAGTTGGACCCTCCTTCAAATTTTCTTGAATGCGAAGCATACAAAAAAATGCCACAATTTCCATCGAGAAAAAGCGTGATTTCTGGCGGGAAATGATCACGTGATCCATTAAGTTAGACAGATGGATCTAGTTCAAGGCTTCGGGTTGATTGGGAGTTGGGCAACTTTGTAAATAGATTAGCTCATTCGATCATTAYCTTGAAGGCGGTCTTTTTTCTTTTCAGTCTTATTTTACTGTTTCAACTGTGACGCAAAGCATGAATCTATCTGTGTTCAGAATAGACCCCTTTCGAGTGCCAAATTACCACTGTCTTTCTTTCTTGAATACAGACTCATTTACTCAGGCTTAGCCTCGAATCAGTGTCTAAATATTCACAAAT